TTTTTTTTTATTTTTGAATTGTTTTTAAACTAAAACTCAACTCGTTGAGAGCTTTAAGAAATCTTTTTTTTCTTTTTACTACTTACAATCGTTGTGCTAATTACTAAACCTTGTAATGTGTGCGCGACACTGACGACATTTTCGGTTTGTCCATTTTGAAACCAGTTCAATCATTATGATTAGCATAATGTTCTTGATTGCTTCACACAGCTTGTCTCTGTATATACTACTTTCTTGCTCACTTTATTATCATAGCGTACACTCATTTTAACATTTTAATATTTTTATATTCAATTAAGTTAACTCTAAATTAATGTAAATGTCATCATTTTCAAATTTTTTTAGCTCTTTAGCTGCCTTATGTCTCTCTTAGCATATTTTACATATGCGTCTGTACATGTTATTGCTGTACAAATAATTTGTTTTCTAATCAACTTGAATATTATTTATATGTACAGCTTTATAATCAAAAATACAAAACTGCTATCGCAGTCCTCGATAGTATAGTGGTTAGTATCCCCGCCTGTCACGCGGGAGACCGGGGTTCAATTCCCCGTCGGGGAGTCGTGCGTGTGTGCGGGCGCGTTTTTTTTATTGATTTTTGCAAGATTTTCAAAATATTAAGTAATTAAAAGTTGGCATTATTGAATCCTTGTTATTCCATAACATTTAGGAATTTTTAAAAAATATAGATAGAGTAGAAGATTTCGTTAAATATTATAAAGCCTTCTTTTAAAATCATAAAATATTACATGTGTTGTATTGCTTTCCAAATAGTAGAATTCTAATAAGACGTGACATCACGACATAGCCTTATAAATTATAACTTTTTAGTTTACTAACATTAAACCATTTAGACATCGATTGACTCATGCTTAAATTATGTTTAAACAAGTTATTCAAACATATTTCTTCGTCAAGATTCATGTTTGGTCACGGTCAGATGCACTAACCTTAATAGTTATCTCGATAAGAATTGAATTCAGTTTTTTGTGACACTTACCTATGATCACGGACATTTTTATACCATGTAACGATCGATGTATATAATAGCAAATCAGGTTGCAAGAGGTTTCTGACCTTACTTTTGCTTATTGTTCCTGATCATATAAAAAAAGCACGTTTTTTATCGTTCTTAGCGGCGACGTCTACTCTACACCTAACAGCCTTATTGCATAGGCGAAATTCTTTTAATGGTGAAGTCAGATGCGAAAAGCGAGAAGGTTGGTAGAGCACTTTGTTACCACAAAAATGAAACTTTTCTAAATTTCTTTACCGCTAAATTCATACTACGGATTTTGCCACGCCTAACAGCGAGGAAAAGATCGGGAATCATGTCATAAATCTGACTTCAAAGAGCTTTTAGTAGAAAAAGAAATAATTCAATTTTAAAAAATCAGATATTTTCAAAGTAGGTGACGATGTGTTCAACTCATCATTACGAATAGTTTTATTGCAAAAATTGTGATTTTTGATAACTGAATAATGATATGTTTGAAGTTTCAGATTCTGAATGCAATTGAAGTCGATTGCTTCAGAGAGTGTATATTACATTAGTACATTAAGTTAGCGCGGACATATCTAACACACAGAAGCTTAAGGTACACCCACCTTTTGTCATATCGATCGATTTAGAATCATACTCTGAATTGATCTAAGGCTCTCTCTGTCCGTTTATTGTCTGATCATATGTTCAAGCTACGGGTTGCAATTTTTGGTACACTGATGTGTTTTGACCCAAGAGTGAACGCTATTGAAAATGATTTGAATGGGTCCAATTTATGGGGCAATTGCCATCAGGTGGATAGACGGACAGACGAACAGGCGTACAATATGCGGAAAAACAAACTATCTTAAGTCTTTCTGGATGTTACACATATTCACAAAAATTTATTTTACCCTGTATTACAGATAGTGTGCTATTATGCTCATATCATAGATCCCGATGTTCACAAGCAAAAGAAAAAATTCCCAGTTTTCATTTAAAAAAAATATGCGCTGGAAGATTTTTTGAACTAATGTACTGCAAATCTAAATAAAAGATAGGAAGGATGGAAGGATGGAAGATAATGAAGCAAAACTTTTGAACACTGCATCTTTTCATCACTGCATCTATTCGGACGCTTAACGAAATTTATGCGAAAGATATATGTTCGCTTTAGGTTTGGTGCGGAGAACACAGAATAAGGTCAAAGCTAAACACGTACTATTATGTTATATCACTCGACTTGGATCGTAAATGATGAGCATGTTGGTACTCGAACTCCTCTTGATTTAATGAAAACAGCTAAAGATGCTATAGCGGGCTACGGCTAACTACCATATGTCTTGCTTCACTATGCTTAATACGGCTTCTCCTTAGTTAGATAAGTCGGTATATGGGCAATAGTCGAAATGGTCGAGTGGTCCGGTTCGAATCATTTTCAATAGGATTCGTCCTTATTCCAAAAAACATCAGTGTAATAAATTTTATTAAAATGCATGAGTACGAGGAAGGGCTTGAGACAAATTCACGTTATATTATACGGCTTGATTTAAAATTACTTTTTGAATCGATCTAAGCTTGTCTGTCCCTCTTGTTTTCTTGTGTTCAATCTGCAGGCCGCAAATTTTTGAGAAATTTTGCCAGGTTTTGGCCCAATCACCAACGCTATTGAAAATGGTTCCAAACGGGCGGTTTTTCGGCCATTTACCGTACAACGCCTTCTTTTGAAAAGTCGTACGATGAATAGCTGCATTAAGTAAAACGATGTGAGATATTTAGTGGTGAGTCCTGTTCCATTATATTGTCTTTACCTATATCAAGAGAGGCGCAAGTACTAACTTGCCATACATTTACGATCCAAGTCGAATATTTAAAAAATAATATAATAATACGTGCTTAGCTACGATCTAATTGTTTGCCACTCCGGAAAAGCAAAAAACTAAAGTGAAACTTATGTCTCTTGCATAACTTTTAAAAGAATGAATGGATGCAGTTTTCGCTGCAATCCCAAGAGTAAAAAATCGATGTGTTTCGTAAAACAAGAAATTTGCAGAACCCCTCTGCGCTAAGAAAGATCATCATGAGAAATTGTGTACATTCTTCTCTATCTGTATATATATATATATATATATATATATATATTTATTTATTTTTTTTTTTTAAACCTGTTTAAAATTTATTTTCTAAGAATATTTAAAGAAGGTTTTGATGTTAACTTCAAATAGATGATAACATTAGATGACGTTTATGAATATAAATGTCGAAGTATTATATACAATGCAGTATTCGTAAAAATTGTATGAGCAAGAGGAAGAATTGTATTCGAGTGTGGGATCTTTTTTCAAATTTGTTTAAAAGAAATTTTAAGTTTCAAGTTTCACAGCTTTTATAACTGCAGCAATTAAAAATGAATGGATTGTTATTGCTAAGGCATGGCTCAATATTTATACCCCTACACTGCTTGTGATGCAGGGTATGTTAAGTTAGTGCGGACATATGTAACACTCACAAGTGCTTAAGATAGACCCACCTTTTATTATACCGATCGATTCAGAATCATAATCTGAATTGGCCGAGGCCTGTCTGTCCGTCTGATGTCTGTCTATGTAAATTAGTATTCAAGCTACAGGTTGCAATTTTTGAGATATTTTAAGGAAATTTGGTGCAGTGATGTATTTTGATTCACGGACGAACGCTATCCAAAAGGGTTTGGATCTGGTCGTTCTTTTAAGTACTGGCAATACAAGGCCTTATTGTGAAAAATCGTTATATGAATAACTACACGGTGGTGTAAAGTATTGAATGATGGGCCGTCCCGCCTGTTTGTTGTTTTAACTTGTTATTACTCTATACAATATACAAAATTTGTTTAGTTATCTGTTAATTGCGATCGATTTATCAATCAATATTCCCGTTTGTACGAAATATTCAAAAATGATGATCGGTGGGCTAACAAGTTTAATAATTTGAAAATTCTATTTAGATCAGTCGTGGTGGGGAGATGGACGGAGATAAGGAGTTTGCTTATTAACGATTGAAAATTTTAGAAATAATTAAAGAAAAATATTTAAATTCAGTCTACATTTCACATTGATCGAGAAAATTTTGTCCTTTAAACGGAGCAATCATATTAATTGATACGTTTTTGTTGTCTGTCTTTGCTTCGACTCTCAGAAGCAGATTTGGCTGTCATACATAATTGATGGGCTCTCAAAATATGCTCCAAGTGTTGTTTGTTTTCTGAGTTTCGTTTCATTTTAAAGAAAATGCTGACGCTTCCGCATTTTCTTTTCTTGTTTTTCTTTTATGTTTAACTAATTTCATCCGCGAATGAGCAGAGTTTATTGTTACAATTATTTTACCATAAACACCATATATGTATTATTATTATTATTATTATTATCCGACCCTATTAACCTTCTAATTGGGTTACATATAACATGCATATATAGAAATATGAAAATATAAGCAAGTGGCTAGGTTACAAAGGCCTTCGAGTAATTTAGTTAGTTGCAGGAAGTTAAATATTGTATCCACACTAAGCCGGTAGTAAATGAAATTTTTTACTAATCGAAATTTGGTATTTCCTTTTTCCTTGGTTTTGAATCTAGATAGGTTCACCATTATGTTATCCAAGAAAACGGGTATTTTGAATGGATGTCAGAACACTATTTTACTATCAATTTTAAATAACGTGATATAGATGTGACCCTAAAATCTGACAATGACCACTATCACTACTACCACTACTACACTCTATAGAATTGCAAAAAAAAAAAAAAAAAGCCAAAGAAAAACA